GTTTTTCTTCCCTATCTCTAGTTCACTGCTTCTGAAAGGGGGAGTCCCTGAAGATTGCATCATCAGAATCACCTGGGAACTTGTTAGAAGTGCCAATTCTCTAGTCCTGCCTCAGATAAATTTCTGGGAGATGCTGGAGTTTGAGAACAAACGCTCTATTCCCTCCAGAGAGGAATACTAATGCGAGGAGCTTCAGAGCAGTCCTGGAGGGTGGAGGCCCTTTGAGGTCTTCCTTCTAAATGCCATCCCAACTATACTCCCTAATTAGCACATGTAAGTTCAGAAAAGATCTCACCAGCAGATTCTTATGTGGGAATTGGGCCATAGGTCTACTTGGATTTCACTTTATTTTGATTTTCCTTTTCCCTCCTGTAGCCAGTCCCAGTTATTTATTACCTCTTCCTGGTATTGGCTCCCATTTATCACTCCATCCTGCCTCCTTCAGAGACTCTGAGGTGTCAGCGACGTCTCTCATAAATATGTGCCAAGGGCTCCTGACACAAAGGGCTTCTTGGACCCAGGGGAAGGTTCTGGTTTTAAACAGTCCCACCCATCTGGTGCTCTAGGACTCGGCATTTTCAGCGCTCCGGAATCTTGGTTTTCACCATGACATTTACAGAGCAGCTAAGCCTCACTGTTGAGAACTATCCAGGGCTTAGAGGGCAGTAACGAAGTTGGCTGGCCTCCAGCAGTTGGCAAACACTGTAACACACTAAATGTCACTGTGGGCTTTGTTTGGTTTTAAATGGAAAAATTACTAGAGTTATGAAAGCTTACAAACCTTTGCTAAAGAGGAAAAAAAAATACCCCCTTTTCTTTTTCTCTGCTTTTCCTCCACGGATTACTTAACTAGGGAATGGCCAGGCTCCCATGCACCCCATCTCATCTTAGCCCCCACCACTTACTCACTAATGAGCACCCAATAGCCACAGAGCTCACAACCAAGAGCTAGTTTCCAGAACTCCTCTTGCTGTTGAGAATGTGCCACCATTACTAATTCAAAGCAGATCTGACCTAGCTACAAACTACGATGCACATTTTCCCAGGATCCTCTGCCCTTCCTGTTTCTTTTTCCTCTTAAAAGAAATGCTCATGCTTATTTGTATATAAATATTCATCCCCAGCAGAATTCTACTCTAGCTCTTAAAACTGGAAGGACACTCAAAGGCATTGAACTTAGACTCTTGCTTCCACACTGATAGGTTATTGTCCCCATTATACATATGATGTAGCTGAGGCTCAGAAAGTCACCTGCCCAAGGTCCTATAGAGTAACTGCAGAGCTCAGAGCCACAGCTCCTGCCTCTTAGACTCTCTTTTTCTTGATCACACTTCTACCGCCATCTAAGATCAGAGCCCCAGAACTGGAGAACAGCTCTTCATTTGCTCCTTTCTTCCCAGCTCCAGCCCAGGATAGGGTTTTCTCTTACATGATTTCATCAATATAGTTAATCCAAATGTATCATCCTTTTTAAAAACAATTCAGCCAACTCCTTCCTGCTGACACACTTCAGCCCTGGAATTAGGACACTCTGCTTTCCTTTGCAAGTGTAAGCGTGTGAGCACCTGCATGGGGTGATCTGGGAGGACCCGGCCCTCCTATTTCATTTACTAACATTTAGGTCAGAAGTAGGCAGGGTTTTGAATGTTTCATGAAGTGACTCGCATCCAACAGGCTTGAAAACAAATGCCAAGAAGGACCAGGGCCCACACTGGCAGACCCACTGGGGCTGGAGGACTTGAATTCTAAGAGTGGCCAAGACCTTGATTGTATTCCATTTGTCCCCATTGAGGCTATTTGTTTTATTTTCATGCAGAGAAAAGAAAACAATGGGTCAAAACAATTTCTCTGGTCAGCATGCAGAATCAGGTGTGTCTTAGTTTATGCTGCTAAACAAAATACCTGAGATTGAGTAATTTATAAAGAACAGAAATTTGCTCAGAGTTTGCTCAGTGTTTGCTCAGAGTTCGGGAGGTTGGAAAGTCCAAGGTCAAGACACTGGCATCTGGCAAGGGCCTTCTTTCTGCATCATGACATAGCAGAAGGCAGAAAGGCAAAGGCAAATAAAGAGAGGGCAAGAAGGGGCTGAACTCTCCCTTTCTTAGTGCGCCAACCCCACTCAGGTGGAGCCTTCATGGCATAATCACCTTTTAAAGATTTCACCTCTTAATACTGTTACAATGGAAATTAAACATCAACATGAGTTTTAGACTGGACAAATACTCAAACCATAGCCCAGTGGGTGGCCCTAATAAGTGTGTCTTCTCCAGCCTTTCCAACTCTGGGCCTCTCTGCTCCTCCTCCCCACTGTTAGAACTGCTTAGTACAAATTAGGAAGTTGCTTGGAGTTAGGTGAAGTACGCTGACCTGGCCATACAAGCTCAGGAAAGAGACTCAACCCTTCTGACTCCTGGTTTCCTCATCTGGAAATACAACATAGGGCACCTTAAGGATTAAATGGAGACAGATGCAAAGACATTATGGTACCCACCAAATATCAGCCCCTTTTCCTCATTCCTGATCATATTAGTACATTTTTTCCACTTAAGGGCATTTGGATTATAATGGTGGCGGGGGGCGACCTCTATAATAATAATTTTTCAAAAGATGAATCTCGGCCAGGTGCAGTGGCTCACGCCTGTAATCCCAGGACTTTGGGAGGTCAAGGCAGGCAGATCACGAGGTAAAGAGATCAAGACCATCCTGGCTAACATGGTGAAATCCCGTCTCGACTAAAAATACAAAAAATTAGCCGGGTGTGGTGGCACGCACTTGTAGTCCCAGCTACTCAGGAGGCTGAGGCAGGAGAATCACTTGAACCCAGGAGGTGGAGGTTGCAGTGAGCCAAGATCACGCCACTGCGCTTTAGCCTGGACGTCAGAGTGAGACACCATCTCAAAAAAAAAAAAAAAAAAAGATGAATCTCTAATGGAGGTTTAAATAAGTCCAAGAAGAAACAAGGCAATATTGTTGCAGCAGGCGAGGGACCCTCAATGACGACACACATTGAAAAGACTTGAGAGGCAGAGTCAAGGGTTTAAGTAAGCAACAAGTCATGGGGAAAGCCAGCAGAATTTAAATGGCTTCCTTTGTCTTTTTTCTCACATGGAAGGACCCTAATTATCACACGGCAACAAGGTGGTTAAGAGTAGCACATGGTTATTGAGCCCCTACTATGTGCTGTATGTGGTTTCTGGCTTTTAAAATCAATGGCAATAAATGTCAGAAAATTTGTTACTGGCAAGTGAGGTAGTTTGAAAAATAAGCATGGGCACTTTAGCCTTGGGCCTCTGGGCCACCACTTGTCACTCTGTACCTCTAACATTGAAGGCTGTCATTGCTGGAGGACCTATCATTTAACTCCAACGCTGGACAGGAGGCATCAGTGTACATCTCACAGAACATCAGAACCCAGGTGGACACTTAGAGGGGATCCATTCTAACCCCCCTATCAAGGACCATCTGGTTAGACTTGCCCACCTTTGTGAATGGGCAGTGAGTCTTCTACATGAGGCAAATGTCCTTCACTGGGATAGGTAGCTGAACTGCCATACATGGCCAAGTTCATGTTTTTCTGAATGGGAGGCTATCCATCTTGCTCATCATCTTTTACCACCCCCTGCCTCCAAGAGTACCACGCATACATCCTTGCACTCCTGGTAGCCTCATTGCCTCTGTGAAGCTTGCCTTGATTGTAATGTCATGTTTCCCCCTCTACTTACATATACCTGAGAAGCTTTTACCTACTGGTTATGGTTCAGCTTAGCTACACTGCTTTTAGATGCTTGAATGTGACCATAAACGAGAACTTGGCAGACTCCAGAAGCAGGCAGGTCCAGGGTTGACTCTCTGCCACTCCCAGGCCCCTTTACCTCTATAAACCTCAGTGTCCTCATCTATAAAGTGGGAATAATAATGTGGAAATTTCAAGGTTGTTAAAGAGGAAAATGTAAAGTGCTGGTCTAGTAGCTGGCACTTAGTGAACACTGAAATTCAGTTCCCATTTTCATGTTTCTTGATATTCTCTGTTCTGTCCTTCCCTTCTTGACTAGGATGAAGGCCTCTCTCTACCACTGTGCTTATATGTGTGTGCCATGTTTTAGTCACTTCATTGAAGTGTAATTTACATACAACAAAATGTACCCATTTTAAGTGCATGGTTTGAAGCATTTTGACAAATGTAGACACCTGTGCATATCTATGCATATGGAACATTTCTGTCACTCCCAAAGATTTCCTTCTGAGTTAATCTCTATGCCCCTATACCTGGCCCTAAGAAACCCCTCATCTCTTTATTTTTATTTTATTTATTTATTTATTATTTTGAGACGAAGTCTCACTCTGTCCCCTAGGCTAGAGGGCAGTGGCACAGTCTCGCCTCACTGCAACCTCCACCTCCCAGGTTCAAGCCATTCTTCTGCCTCAGCCTCTCGAGTAGTTGGGATTACAGGTGCATGCCACCACTCCTGGCTAATTTTTTGTATTTTTAGTAGAGGCGGGGTTTCACCATGTTGGGCAGGGTGGTCTCCAAAGCCTGACCTCAGATGATCCACCTGCCTTGGCCTCCCAAAGTGCTGGGATTATAGGCATAAGCCACAGTGCCCAGCCCCAACTGATCTCTTTCTATTGCTATGTGTTACATTGTCTTTTCTTAGAGCTTCATATAAATGGAATCATACAGTACATATTCCTTAGTGTCTGGCGCCATTCATTCAATATAATGTTCTGAGATTCTTTGAATGCATCAGTAGCTGGTTCCTTATTACTGTGCTTTTAACTTTGCATCACAATTTATCTGATTCCTCCACTAGACTGTGAGGCCTTCAAAGATTTCATTTTTTTCTTCTTTGGTTCTCAAATAGGTATCCAGTAAATGTGAGAGGGAAGGAGCAAGGAAGAGTAAGGGCATTGCCATGGGGATTGGCTGCAACCTTTCCATCTGTCCATCCCTGGGAGGCAGTACTCTCAGTCCCAGCAGAACCCCATCCACAGGCACTTACAGCAGCCAGTCCACAGCCACCAGCAGGCTGATGTCCTCTGTTGGCAGGCCCACAGCTGTCAGAATGAGGAGCATGGTGACCAGCCCGGCACTGGGGATACTGGCCGCGCCGACGCTTGCCAGGGTGGCTGTGAGGCTACGAGAACAGAGAAGTCCAGGTCATGGGAATGGAAAGAATCTTAGCAAAACCAATTCTGGCAATTTTAAGCTCTAATTTTCCTGCAGCCATAAATTTCACCCCCCAAACCCCTCCCCTCCCCAACTCTCCACCAAGAAATAGAGGAATCTAAAGTAACAAGGCTCAGGAATTAGGGATTAAGGCCTATTTGGATTCTGCTCAATTATGATATAAGCTTATAAATTCATGGATTGGAGCCTTATTCCCATCATGCTATCCAATTAGTCTAATATATCACAGGGCTCAAATAAGGTAAGCATAACTCTAAAAGCAGGCAATGAAATATTAAAGAAGAAAAACAAATCACCCTTAATCCTCCCATGGAAATACAACTGCATTCATTTCTGCTTACACTTTTATGCCTCTGTGCGCACCAGAGACTACGTGGCAAGGGTCTGAGAAGGCCATTGCCAAGGTTAACATGAGAACTCAGAATAGCAAATATCCAGACCCAACCGAGTGGACATCAGGGGAAGAAATCAACAGATTCCAAATGACAGTAAGCATCAGGCACCTGGACGCCTCACCATGGGCTGCAAAATACATTATTCAGAAAGAGGATGCCAAGAAATGATAATGAAGGAGAAGGATGCTTTCTTTCTGAAGCATCTCATCAGTTCTTTCCAAGCAATGCCAGGGGCACACCCAGCACCATTCTGAAGTTTGTCTCTGGGAGAGCGTTAATCTAGAGTTCAAGTGCACTGTCTTGACACCAGGGAGCCTGCTGTGGTCCAGCAAAAAGCAATCACTCTTTTTTTCTTCTTTTCTGGATGCCATTTATACAAAGCTGTCATATCAAAATGTAAGATTACTTTGGAAATATGGATTCCTAAGTTTTTTTTGTGGGTTTCAAAAGGCAAGGGGGCCTGCTTTCTTTGTGATTGTGAAATCCTAGAAATTTTATAAGCTGAGAGGTAACCTTTCAAATTGTCTAAACTAAATCCACGCCATCAGTGTGATCAAGCACAGAATCCTGGGGTCTTATCATCGGGAGGGACCTGAATATACCTAGTCTTATGTGTACCTAGATGAAGTTCCCTGGAGAGCCTGTGGTTTGAGCTGTTTTTCCCGTATTGCCATCTTTCCCAGGTTTAGGCCCCTCCTTGCATAAACCCTTCCCTAGGTGTGATCTTCAGACCCCATCCATGACTTTGCCTCCCCCACCAATGTGGAGCTGGTGTCAGAGCTCAGATAACTCCAATTTCCTTGAATCCATCCGGGTCACTGGAGGTACAGTATGGAGTGCTCATCAGTGAAAGTTCTGCAACAACCTGAGTTCAAATTCTAGCTCTGCCACTTAATAACCACATGACTACTGCCAACTTAACCTCTCTGTGCTTGATTTCTCATCTGTAAAGAGGAGATAGTAATGGTATCTCGCTCATGGGGTGGTCAGAAGCTTTCAGGAGCTAATAAATTGAAAAGCACTTAGAAGAGGCCGGGCACATTGCACCCCCCCCCCTCCGCCCAGTAAATGTGAATTGTTTTTCTTATCAAGAAATCTGTACAGGACCAGGCTGCTTGCAATGAAAACTTTCCCTCAAGCCCCAAGAGCTGGAAGATGGGAATTCTCAACCATTTCCCAAACATACAGAACACCAGGGAAGGGGAACTCCCCAAGTTCCAACAGTCTTGACCTTGACTGTATTACTTACAGCATCAGTTGCTCTGAGTCACTCCTGCATATCCCTTTGCACTGTGGCCAATTATCTGGTTATCTTTTGGTTGTGTGAGACAAAGTCTTATAAAGATAATTCTCCCTAGAAGTTGCTTTCCCCTCTTTTCCTCCACCCTAATATTACCCTCACCCTGCCGTGGACATCGTGTCTGTCTGTGAAATTCTAAGCCCTGCCAGAGCTCCCTGGGCAGTGATTTTCTCTGCCTCGCCTCATTGCTTTCTGCTTTGCCTGGGCTTCTACTACCCTGGCTCACTTCTCTAGGGTTCCTGGAAGCTGTCAAGATACCAGACACAAAATATCAGATGAGACCCTCACAGTAGCCCTGCAAGGGAAATACATGGGAACACCTGCTTTCACCAGGAGGAAAACATAGATAGGATGGGTGGAGAAATTTAGGTCACACAGTTTGAACATGGTCTGCTGGGCTTTGAAGAGTGGTCTGCTTGATTTCAATGCCATGCTGGCCCTTCATGGCCTGGATCTCTCCCTATATTGAAATTCCATGAATTAATAATAATGCTGAGAATTCCTAATCACTATTTTCCTACATGCAGTGAAAGGAGAGGATGAAGAATTTACTTGGAAGTGCAGCACGAACACAGATTTGGCTATTTTCCTCCAAATAAACTGCAGGCATGAAGCATATACACCCGTAGTGTGTGGCCCAGAGGTAGTCCTTGAGGGGTCTACAATTTAGGAGGATTTAACTGAACTCACCCAGAGGCCAGAGATTTAAACGTGTATGGTAAAACTCATCTTTTTTCAAGTGAAAATGTTCAGTAGTATCGCTGTTAATATGAGAAAAACCCTGCATAGATAAATTTATATAATTTAAGCACAAATGCAATCACTCACTGGTCCATTCTCCCAACTCAAAGTTCCCATCTAATAGTGGGAACTTAATGGAAAACATGGTTACCATCTTGACCAAGAGTTGAGGGACAAGAAATTACCTTTGCTTGCAAAAGACTTCATTAAGAAGCCCTTTTCATCTTTGAGAATTAAAGTAAGGGAGGTTAGCAGTCTCATGTGATATCTGTTAGGACATAATGTAGAGAGGCTTGATCTTCTGACCTAAAGTACATTTTCCATTGTCAGTAACATCATGGTACTCATGATGTCACTGCCACCTTTTCCTTTAATATTCTAGGAGTATTTTGACATCATTAATAATAACATCAGAAGCTAACACTTATTGACAAGTGACGATGAGCCAGGCACCATGTTCTCAGCCACCCTAGAATTTGTTATTGTTCCCATTTTGCAGATGAGAAAACTGAGGATCCCTTATAGTATATAATTCATGGGGTAGTTGTGAAGATTGTATTATATATAAAAATTATTATTTTGCAACCCAACAGTATAGTATAGTGGAGGCAGTGTGTGTAATGGTTAAAAGCACAAACCCCAGAGTGAGGTGGCCTGGGTTCAAACCCCATTTCTGCCTCTTATAAACAGTGTGATCCTGGGCCAATTACCTCATCTTACTCTGCTTCATTTTCTCCATCTGTAAAATATAGAACCCAATCCCTACTTTTTAGGGCTGTTTCTAGGATCACAAATTAAAATTTTTAATTAAAGGAAGCATATATCAGCATTTGGAAACTTGAATTGTAGTTGTTCCTCTAGATGGCTGTGTGTGATCTATTCTCTGAGCCTCTGTTTCCTTATCTACATATGAGGTGAGATGATTTAGCAAAAGAACCTCTAGGAGATGTTTCAGATGATACATTCTAGCTGATTGAATAAATGTGATTGTTATTTCATGTTTTCATATTATGTGTGTGTGTATGTATTAAACATGGTGAACCTTTTCTTTTCTCTATTTGCTGACTTAGTTGCTAAAGTGAACTCAGATGCATACGGGATATTCATGAAATCTTCTGGAATGGTTATAAGGTGAGAGGAGAAAGCTGTGTTTCTACAAAAATGTCTCTGAGCTGGTTGAATACCTCAGAGTTAGATCAAGCACAGGCTCTGAGGTGGCCATTCCATGGCAGTATCAGCCCCTAGAACACATAGAGGACATGATTAAAGGACACTGGGCAGTCCCTGACTTTGACTTTTTAGCAATCTGAGCATGTAGAGACATCAGACCCAAATGGGCACTGCCTTTTGCGAGAGATCGTTTCCTAAGAGAAGTGGGTCTTCTTAAGAGGGGGCCTGGCCCACTAAGGGCCTACAGGAGAATAGACTGTTGAATAACATGAGCCAACCAGGCATAAGCTTATTACCAAAGTTTCTAATATAGAGGTTGACAGTGCTGCCTGGGGTTTGAAGTGGGAGAAAGAGGCTAGTGCCTTAGCTGGAACCAAAATAATATTGCCTCTTCTAATGCCCAATGGAAAAAATATCAATAAAAACACTATTCTAATGTATTTTTTTTTGAGTCCCAGTTGGAAAGCAGAAATGACCTGTGGTTGAAAGAGGTAAATTTGACTTGTGTCTCTGGCACCCACAGCCATGAGACCTAGGTTTGTCAGATAATTTCTCTGAGCCTCACATGCCTCCTCTGTAAAATGAGGATAATGACTATCTCTTCTCTTCAGGACTGCTGGGCATGTTCAAAGTAATGTATGGAAATAGTCTGCCACCTCAGAGGAACCAAAAGAATGGAGTGGTTATCATCATGGAGGATGAAAGTACGTTCCAGTGTCTACCTCATTCATTTTCTGAAGTGAATCACCCAGGCCTGGGCTGTTCTAATATTTGGAATTCTCTTTCTACTACAAGTATATCTGTCACATGGAATGTGACCCACTTATTCCCTATGTTTTCTGATCCTACAGAATCTTAGAGGGAAAATAAAACTTATAAATTGTTGAGTCCAAGACTGACAAACTCCCATGTGCTAAAGGGCCAAGTTGTGGTGACAGGTGCAGCAGACTAGGCATAAGTAATAGGGAGCAGGGGAGACTGTAGGAAACTGAGGGGCAGCTATCTTATAAGAGGATAAATTTCTAATCTTTCACAACATACTTCAAGCAAACAAAGCAACACTCTGGGCTGGGAGTCCATCCATGAACTACCATCTTGCAGCCCCAAATTTGGAATACCTTCCTTATTTATAGATAAGGAAATTGAGACTGAGAGCAGGGATATGACATAAGTTAAGGCAGAAATTGGCTTCTGGCTTAATTGAAATGTTTCGATGGGTTGGGGGTGCTAATATTAAAGTGATGATTGCAAAAAGCTTCATTTCATGCTATAATGTCTATATAACGTTGAATGGGTTGAAGTCTGATATTTTCAATGACTTAACCTATAAATAAGAAACTGAAGTGTTGGCTTGGCTAATAGGTGTGGTCTTTATGGTGAAGCAATGCGTTTTTAATGATCTCTTAGGAAAATGTTCCTTCTGAATTTTTAAAATGATGAATGCACATAAAAATCACTTTAGTAAAAGCAAAACTATGTGCTATTTATTTGTAATAAAATCTTATATGTCATATTGAGGAACCTCTTCCAGTATTTTGTCATTTCTGCTATCACCCTCTGGTGATGGACTATTGAAGGGAGCATATTTTAGTGAAACAAAAATTGGATCCAGAGTCAGCTGATGTCGGCCTCAGTTACAGTCCTGCCAGATCATTACTGACGCTGACTTTACTCAGTCATGCTGTAGCCATGGACAAACTACCATGCCTCTTGGTGCCTGAGTTTCTTCATCTATTAAATGGGCAAATAAATTACCCTGTCTACATCACAGAATCACTAAAAATCAAATAATATCCAATTTCTAAAGCAAGTTGACATGTGCAATACAAACAGGCAGTAGTAATGAGTCTTTTTTCTTGTCACAATGTTTTCCCTTCGAAGGCGGCCAATAATTCCTCTAATTTTATTCCCTTCATTGTCTTCCACCAGCAGAACTGAAATTCAAGTGGCCTCTGTCACATGGAGTTAGTGTGGAGGGGGAGCAGGGTAGAAGGTTGTTTTTGTGTTTCACCCCACCCTCCTCACCTTACAGTCACAATCTGTCCTCCGTCCAGCACAACACCATTCATTTGGGCTATAAAGATGGCGGCCACGGCTTCGTAAAGGGCTGTACCATCCATGTTAATGGTTGCTCCAACAGGAAGGACAAATCTAGTCACACGCTTATCAATCCCCAGATTTTCTTCCAGGCAACGGAAGGTGACAGGCAATGTTCCAGCACTGAGACCAAAGAGAAAGAGAGAGACAGGGTGATGTCCACTTTAGAGGAGCAGGACAGGGCACAAACTGGAATGTCACTTCCAAGTTTTTCCTGTTTTGTTTCAGTCAAACAATGTAACATGCAGAAAAGCAGTATCTGGAGACAAATTAAAAACTGGTGAGTTGGAGGCTCAAATTCAATCTTATTAAGATGCTAATTGGCAGCAAAATGTTTTCGTTGGTTCTAGTTTTAGAGATATACTCAGAATGTCAAGTTTTTTTCTTTTTGACACTGTTTACATCTTGGATTTGATATTGAAATGTATCTGATTGCCCACATTAATTGGGTTGCAAAAAAAAAAAACAACACCCAAAACAAAAACCACCTATAACAGAAAAGAATCAGCTATCAGCAGTAAAGTGGGATGAGTGATTTTTGAGTAACCCATAATTTCGTGCTAGAAATGCTGTTTCCAATAAAATGACTACATGGATTGTATCCACTCCCTGGAAATTGCCCTGACCTGGGCTTACTAATTTTTACAACAATAAACATGTCCAGCACCCTTCAGCATGAACCTGAGCTTTGAGAAATTCACTGGGGAAACTCACAGATAGTCCAACTCCCCAATATAAGCTTGTGAGCCAATTCTACAGTCACTTCAATGGCATGGAGCAGGAAAGCATATGCTCGGTAGCAAAGCAAAGATTAAACATAAAGTGACTTCACTCCCCACTCCTCCCAGGCCCAGGTTGTGAATTCATGGCCACATGACCCAGCCTCAAAGGCCAGAATTCCTGACATGTTCATATGTTTTCAAAATTGAAGACCAACAAAAATAAGGGTTGCTAAAGGCCAGCAGAATATTATTTCCATGTGGATAGAAGTACATGGGAGGGTGAGTGGATTTGCTGCAAAGTTTATGTAGAAAGCAATGCAGAACACTCAGACTGCCATGGGAGTCCTTCATGGTTCATCTGCTTGACTTTTTTCTGTTCAAATTTTAGCAAAGTGAATTAGAAAACATGCAATGCAGACAACATTTGGAGGTGTTTTCGCTCTTGCATTTACAGCTTTTGTCAAAGTTCCCTCCTTCTACTGGTCAGAATTAGTGACAAAGCTGGACATAGATCCCCGTAGAAGTCTTGGTTTCTCAAAGAGTCAGAGAAGACCATCTGCTTCATGGAAGCTAAATGAAATGAAGATTCCAGGGCCTATCCAGAACCAACGAATCAGAAGCCCTAAAATAAGGGATGCCCAGATGTGCATCTTATCAAACCACTGGCACACAAGCTCTTAAAACAACCCTAGGAGAGCCAGATTTATCTTACCAGAACATTCTTCGTGATTTCAGGACAGGGTCTGCCTCATTTCTCCTTCTTGGTTTTGGGTAGGAAGAAGAAATGTTTGTTGGGGGACATCTCATAACTAAAATCTTGTAAACCCAGGGCAAAGTTGGAGTCTGGCCTCATTCGCATGCAGGGGATGCCATCAGACCTGGCTTGTTGTCTCAATGAGAGGTCAGTGTCCCTTTCTTCCTCTTACCCAACCCTTTCCTGGGCCCTTTCGAAAGGTTGCCAGGACACCAGGTCTGGTCTGAGCTGATTGCTCAGTTATGGTTGGTGGCCAGGATTCTCAGGACACATCTGGGATTGCTGGAATACATGTATATTTATTATTGCATTCATTTTTCAAAAATGTCATCAAATGGTCTTTGGACAATTAAGTAGACTGGGGAAAATGATTGGTAAGGTATAAAAATATCTTCTATTTCTCTACTGGACAGGATCTCTTTGTGTCTTACAAAACCCACCCACCCGATCAAACTAGGACTTGAGGATTTGAATTTCAAGCTTTCCTGTGTGGATGGGCTGACATTCCACATTGTTTTTTTGACTTCTGCCTCCATGGACATGTGACCGTCTTCAAATGTTGCTAATAATAACTGTGAGATATTTGAAATGCTTATTTTTTTCCATATTAAACAGCCTGCACTGAAGTTGGAGGGATGAGGACAGTCAGTCTCAGGCCACCCCTCCATCTGTCCTCCCTGACACCAGCCTCTGGAACCATTGAGAAAAGCCTGTCAACTACCCACAACATCTTTATTCTATACAAGGGTCAAGGAGGCAGGAAGGATACTTAGTGGGCTGTCACTGGGTTTCGCATTTTTTCTTCTTTGTGACCACAATGGCAAAGAAACTTTGAGTTAATTCTTGGTATATGACTCATGACACACGGCCTTTTAAAAAAAGAAATTCCACATCCAGGCAAAAGCCACATTTTAACTAAATATTAAAACCACATTTTTTTTTTTTCCAAATGAAATACAGGGTTAGGAGAAGAAATTGGTCTCATATTTGCAGCCTTGGTTGGATAATCTGAGCATTTGTCTCTGATTTAAATACAAATTTGGGCCATCCAAATCCCCTTAAGATTCACCTTGTCTTATAAAGTTACTGAAACAATAGTCTAGTCATTCAAAAGAAAATAACAATAATGTTTTTGAAATAGTTTAAAGATCTAAACCATAAAGGTATTGGAAGAAAATAAAAAGTCATATTGTATTAACTTGGAAAAACTATTCCTAAGCAAAATCTAAATTCCAAATTCTAAAGAAAAGTATTGACAGCTTGACTAAGCACAAATTTAAAACTTCTAGAGGCAAAAAGCACAGTAAATTTTTAAGACAAATGTCAAGGGCAGAGGAGCATTATTGGCAAGAAGTGACACATGAGCTAATATTCTTATACAAAAAGAGAGCTTAAAAATCAATCAGGAAGGGACAAATACCCCAACAGGAAAATGACCAAGTTCACAAACAATTCTCAAGGCAGGGGAAAGGGGAGGGGAAAGAGAAGTAAAGATAGGCATATCTCATGAGATTACTTTTCACCAATAGGATTGAAAAGCATCAAAGTGACCAGTAGTATCCAGAGCTGGCAAGTAAGTGGGGAAGGGCACACCCTCAAACCCCAGTTAATGGGAACATACAATAATAAATTTTTCTGAATAGCAATCTGGCAACGTACTTCAAAATCGTCAATGTGCATACCATTTGACTCTGAAATTCCACTTATCCTGAGGGGATCATCAAACTTGCAGAGATGTGTGTGTAAGGATGTTTGTCACAGCTTTGTTTAATAGACATGCCTTAAATGTACAATATCACTGAGGTTGGGATGGGGTGGGGTTTGCACTGCAGTACATACAGAGGATTATTTTGCAGTTTAAAAAATAGTAGTAGAGTCTATTGCAGTAGATACAACTTTTATGATATGTTGACCAGTAAAAAAAAAAAAGCTGTTTGTAAAATTATACACACACACACACACACACACACACACACACACACACACACACACACATAAATAGTAAGAGCTGGAAAGGTATATAACTAATAAATAATTAAAAGGTTATGACCAGTTATCACCAGGTGATAGAATAATTGGCAAAGCTCATTTTCTTCTTCAAAATTGTATTCACTGCCTGAACTTTTTCACAATCAGCCTGCGGAAATTTAATTTAATTTTTGTTTTCTGGTTATGAGCCTCATATGAGATAAAGTATGAGATACGAGGCTCACAACCAGAAAACAAAAATACAATTAAAAACCAGGTTGTCCCCCCACTCCCCCTGATTTTTTTTTCCAAATGGAGAAGATCTGTATGGAGATACTTAGTCATGGGAAATTTATAAAACAAAGAAGGAAATTTTGAAGTATTTGCCTTCATCTTTGGAAACTGGGTGCAGAATCTAGATCCCTAAGATTGTATATATTCCAGCTTTGCCTGAAACCCCATTTTCTACTAGCGCCGAATCCTCATTGATTTGCAAGATGCAAATTTAATTTGACTTTCCAGGTAGTCACCATCATAGGTCTGTTAGGTTGCTTAAGGGAAACCTGACTGTCTGCTCAGTAGCTGGAGCAGCAGGCCCTGCTGTGTCACGGAGTGGCAGCTCACTGGAAGTGCATGGGCACAGGTTCTGCAGCAAGAACCTGATGATGAGCTACGGGTTTCAGAATTTGCTTGCCTCCCTGCCACCTGTTTCATGATTCAGTCTTAGTTTTGTGACCCAAGGACATGTGTGCAGAAATAAAGCAATGATTGCAAGCTGAAAATAAAACACTAGTCTTAAAAATTCTCAATTGTAAGGCTGGCCTGCCTGCCTGCCTTCCTTCCTTCCTTCCTTCCTTCCTTCCTTCCTTCCCTTCCTCCCTGCCTTCCTTCCCTCCCTCCCTGTCTTCCTTCCCTCCCTCCCTCTTTCTCTCTTTTTCCCTCTTCTCCTCTCTTCTCCTCTCCTCTCCTCTTCTCTCTCCCTCCCTCCCTTCCTTCTTTTCTTTCTTTCTTGATGGAACCTCACTTTGTTGCCCAGAGTGGAGTGCCGTGGCACAATCTCAGCTCACTGCAACCTCTGCCTCAAGCTATTCTCCTGCCACAGACTCCTGAGTATCTGGGACTACAGAAACCTGTCACTGCCCCCAGCTAATTGTTGTATTTTTAGTAGAGATGGGGTTTCACCATGTTAGCCAGACTGGTCTCAAACTCCTGACCTCAAGCGATCTGCCTGCCTCGGCCTCTCAAAGTGCTGGGATTACAGGCATGAGCCACAGTACCCAGCCCAGTTGTAAGCCATTTCTTACGTATTTCTTCTTGTTCATTTTCTGGGTTGTTTTTGTTAGATTCAGTCCAAGATAATATTCCAAAAAATGATTTTTCTCTGCATATCTCTGGGGTCCTCTTTGGCTTTCTAGGCACTGGAACTAGGTAATATATGGGGAACTGATTCTTCATCAATGCCAAGTTAACTCTGGAGAAAGATAATCCATTAGAGGTTCATATCGAGGTCAAAGACTTGGCTGAATTTTGTCAGAAAAATCTCACCTAACATACCATTTACTTTGTAAAAGCTATTCTCCTACTTCTGAAAATTTATTTGCCAAAATCTTCAGGGTAATATTCTGCGATAGCATTTTCCAAATCACAGGTGAAATATTAATTGAAAAGCATCCTGTTAAACTCCCTTTGGAAGACATTTAAAACTAAATTAATGATACAAGTGGAAAATTAGGCATGCAAACAAATAGCATGCATTTATCTGAAAAATTTAATGTGAGATCATATTTCCAATATAGTTGCAAAGCAGCAAAAATGTTCATCAGAAGGCTCAGAAGATCCTAGAAGGAGCCAAAAATTCAAAGCATTCACCTTTTCCAGAAGATCTTAGCAATGTGTGCCAAGTGTTCTTGTTGAACTTTGTGATGGGAGAGTTTTAAGAAACAAGAAGTGGCAAAGAGGGCAAAAGAGTGAACAAAGAGAAAGGTGATTTGTTCTCTACCTGGAAGCGGTGCCCAGAGCAGTGATCCAAGCTTGGAAAATGCCAGCAAAAAAGGAGAAGGGGTTTTTCCTGGTCACTACAAAGTAAATCAAGGGAAGAAAGATGCCCCCGTGGATGATGAGGCCTATGATCACTGTTACCATGTACATTCCCAGCTGCCTAGCAACCACTTCTAAGTCCTTGATTGCAATGATCTTCCCACAGATCAGGCAGGCGATACCCAGGGGAGAGTACCTGAAAAACACAAAAGAGAAAAACAGCAATGAAGAGATCATTATGGGATTCAGAACCTGGGCTTCCTCTGTACCTCACCCTGAGGAAAACACTTGGCTTTACTGTAGCAAAAAAAATAAAGAGTTTTGCTGAGAGAGAGGGTCATGAGATTTTACAGATGTTACTTTTTACTTTATCTCAACTTCCTTAACCAAAATCTGTTTTTTGAATCCAGTGGCACCTGCTCTGCTGAAAAGTCCAAAGGCAAACTCTGTTGCTACGGTGAATTCTACGAATAAAGGAGAGACCGTCTTTTAGCTTTGCTGTCAAGTTCACAGTGAGAGACCCAGGTGTGTCGCTGGGAATCTTGGTTTGATTTGGGTTCTTCAGTTCTTTCCTAGAAGTTTGGGAATGACTTTTGAGCTTTTTAGAAAGCTGTAAACTGGAATTTGTAAATTTGCATTGTTTTTGCCTTGGAAGATAGGGAATATATTAAAATGAGAGAAAGAGTAAGAGAGAGAGAGAGAGGGAGAGAGAGAGAGAGAGAGAGAAACAAGGAAACCATTTGAGCCAAAATATACATTTAGAGAAAGGTGGTTTTATGACTTCTAAGTCTGAAAGTATTTTTTCCATACAATGCCGGCGACTTTCATTGTGTTTTAAGCACTATGGTGAGAGCTGCTCACACAGTTCGTCACTTAATTCTTACCACAACTCGAAAATCTAGGTGTCATTATTGCTACTAGGCAAATAACGAAACTGAGGTTAAGAAAAGCTTAACCTCAGTTAAGTTAAGCTTAATCAGCCCAAGACCAGGAAACCAGGAAATGAGAGAACATCTCAGGTCTGTGAAACTCCCAACTGGGGGATTTTCCCAACCAAGATAAGCCACTTTCGCTTAGTGAGAAATCACAGCTCTTTGTAGATAAGCAATTTACCATATACTAATTCCTATATAAACTGATATTACAGTTCTATCTTTTTTTTTTTTTTTTTTTTTTTTTGAGACGGAGTTTCGCTCTTGTTACCCAGGCTGGAGTGCAATGGCGCAATCTCGGCTCACCGCAACCTCCGCCCCCTGGGTTCAGGCAATTCTCCTGCCTCAGCCTCCTGAGTAGCTGGGATTACAGGCACGCGCCACCATGCCCAGCTAATTTTTTGTAATTTTTAGTAGAGACGGGGTTTCACCATGTTGACCAGGATGGTCTCGATCTCTTGACCTCGTGATCCACCCGCCTCGGCCTCCCAAAGTGCTGGGATTACAGGCTTGAGCCACCGCGCCCGGCCTACAGTTCTATCTTATTATTACTTTATAAAGAGTTTGGAAACTACTCACTCTTGGGAAAGCTAACTATTTTCTCTCTCAATCCAAATATGTTCTTCCCATATTTGCTAAAATCCTTTATTATCCAGAATGGTGTTGTTAGGGCATTAATTTGTTCAGCCTGTGACAGTTTCTGGCTGACATGAAAATATTTGTGGGAAGGTTGATACCTTATTAAAAATTAACAAACTTAAGAGAAAGACTATGGGGAAAATGAAGTCCCAGATAAGGCTTCCAGCAGGGGTCACGGAGTCAGGAAAGGCTGCTGTAATTGTAAGATCTGTACAGACTTGCAATTGTGCCTGGAGAAAATACTTCCCTGGGTTAAAGAAAAAAACATGAGTAGTAGATGAGAGACACATGTGTGACGATTACATAAGACATGGTGCTCGTCTCATCACTTACCAGCTATTAGTATGTGACCATGGTTTGTGGCTTATTCTCATTTTACAGATATGGATGTCAAGGCTCAGAGAGGCTAACTCCAACCTTACGGATTTGTTGCGAGGATTAAAGATTTGAGTATGCATATATGTGTGCTGCTAAGAACCCCTCTCGCATCTCTGTCATTACCATTATTTCTCTGAGTCCCGACAAAGGAATTCTTTGTAGGTTCTGTTTTCACACATGTATCCCATGTCCTCTCCTCACTCATGCTTAATAAGTCTGAGTTAATGATGCTTTCTAGAACATCTCATGGGATACCCAATTGCAAGATGATTTTATAGCAAAATATTCTCTCAAGAGGAACCTAATCCTGAAGGAACTGATCTGTAACTGACACAAATTAGTTAAACATTGGTATAGCTGCTCTCTTCACATATGAGCACCTGGCCTGAAGCTTCCACATTTCCTTTCTGTGGGGTGCAGGCTGGCCAAGTTTGAGGATTGCTTCCCTAGACATTAGGGAGTCTGAGACAAACCTGTGCTCATGTCATTAAACCCTTGGCTCTCTCACCAGTTTATATTCTGCTGGTGTGCCCATAGTCACAACATCTCATATATTATCAAGGTAGTCTCAGGAACCAGCACTTTGTTCACCGAGACTGTAAATAACTAAGCAGAATGCACCTTCCTATAAAGCCAAAAAGCATTTATCTTCATAAACCAAGATATCAATTCTTTACTAAGCACCAAGCATCTTTTAGAGATGTCCAGAAAAACACAACTATAAGCTGTTCTGGGTGTCATTCAATTTTCCTTCTCTCCTGGGACAAGCAATTTGTAGAATGGAGAGAAAATGCTTTCAAGGCTCTTGGCTAAAAAAAGACTAGCTAGAGCATCTCCTGGAGAACGCATTTCAGCCACAGACAGATGGACTAGAGAGAGGTAACAATTTACCTCTGGGGTACTTAGCCAGCTGGGAAAAGCATGAGCTTCTATTGTAAGTGGAGAGTGTTAATCAAAGGCCAGAAAGTGAAGTGTTAGGGTTTATACATATGGCAAGCAGAAGCCCTTGCTAACTCAAACACCTCGATCTCTGGGACTGGTCTGAGCATTACGTAGAAGAAGGAAAGAGCCTTTGTTCTGTGAAGACTTTTAGGGTCATTACTTTCCTGTGCGTATTTTTGTTTTATTTATTGATTATTATTTTTTATTTCTATTTTCTTGCTCTGTTAGCCAGGCTGGAGCTCAGTAGTGCAATCATTTCTTGCTATACCTTGACCTCCTGTGCTCAAGCAATCCTGCCACCTCATCCTGAGAGTGGTGGCCATGTGTATGCCACCACTCTCAGCTAATTTTTGTTTATTTTTATTTTTGTAGAGATGGGGGTCTCACTATTTTTCTCAGGCTGGTCTCAAATTCCTGGCCTCAAGCAATCCTCCCGTCTCCGCCTCCCACAGAGCTGGAATTACAGGTGTGGCCGACCAACTGCACCCATTTTTAAAACAAATAACTTAGGTCTTCACTCTGAAACTGGAGCTTTCGGGTTTCTGGGTTTCCATTCAATGAATTATCTCATTGAAAATGGCATTCTATGGAAAAGGAAGGGCAAATGCCCAGCACCCAAGGCTACCACTCAAAGCTTCCGAGATGAAGCCAACAATCAAAACCACAAACTAAAGTGCATAAAGAGGCTGAGGGCTTCAAGGAGAGTTCTGAAGCCAAATAATGCCCAGTGATTGTTGGTCCAGTTTCCACATTAGAAGGAAACGGCTAGAGAGCTAGGGAGAGGAAATGGGTCCCATGCTGCTCTTAGGCTGGTCCTGTTCTCTGTTTTCAAGTCCACAGATTTATCCAGGACTGGCCTGTGGAATCTTTTTCCTACTGCTGTGTCCATTCTAACCTCCACCCACTTTGTCCCTCAGCCCTTGCCAGCCTAAGGGTCCCACCAAGATCCCCCTCCCAGGACTCCACAAACACCTACTCATCTATAGCAGGCAAGCTGCCTAGAATTCAATCCATGTCCTTGTGTCAGAAACTCCCAGCTTCCTGTTAACAATGTGATTCCCGGGGCTTACCACATACCTATGGAGTCAAAATGTCCTGGAGCTGGCCTTGGGGCATTCATAATTTAAACAAGCTTCCCAGGTAATTCTGATGTATTGGAAAACCAGTATTCCAAGAAAACAAAAATCTTGACTGCAACTGACGAAATGAGGATATTACTTGGTGACCTTTTGGAAACCATTTACCTTAGCTCCAATTTCTTCAGGATCTTTGAGGTCTTAACTGACTGGAATAATTCATTTAAGGTTTTCTGGTCTGGGACAGATGATGGGACAGGCATTTGGAGTGGAGGTAAGCTGAGGGACTTTCTCAGCCCTGCTGTGAAGCCCCTCTGGTTCTGTCCCACACGTTTCCAAGAGCTTATCAACAGAACTAAACACATTCCCAGAGTTGCTGAAAGGTGCTGTCCATGGTCCGAAAATATCACAAATCTCCATTTTTCCCAATCCATTTAGGGATAGGTGTTCCAGCTACCCAAAAAGCGATTTTGTTAAAAGTTACCATTTGTGGGTTAGAATGCTTCATCAAGACAGAGTGAAAAGCAGTCTGTACAGCCACCAGGCTTATTATTCTTCCAGGGACTTGCTTTTGCAAGTAAATGAAATTTCAACCCATCAAGGTGCGCTGCAGGACCCTGAGGGATCTGCCTCCTGCCAACCTTTCCAACTTCACCTCCTTTTGCCCCCTTTCACCAACCACACTCCAGCCTCTCTAGACCTTTGTTCTGATCCTCAAAAGCCTTTCCCTGCCACTTCTTCTCCCTGGAACATCCTCCCCTCAGTTATTCACCAGGTTGCTTGGCTCACTCTGCAGGTCTTCATTAAAGGTCACCTTCCCAGACCGTACCATGTGGCCCATCACTTCTCCCCCCGTCACTATCGCTCACTATTTCATGCTATTTATTACTATTTGAATTAGTAATAAGTGTTACAAACACAATTTGCTCACACTTGCTCCCTTTTGGTTTTCCCTCTCCCCCTTCCCTAGAAATATAAGCTCCATGAGGGCCAGAACCTTTCTGTCTTATTCACCATTATATCACTAGTACCTACAATCATTGCCTGCACAGAATAGAATATTTATTGAATGAAAAAAATGGATGGATTGACAAAGATTCTTTGTTTGACTAAACTTCAGTTAGGCTTCTGAACCTTCTTCTGGGCTCTTTGCTAAACCTTATAAAATCCAGTTTATAAGGTTATCCCTTTGAAAGTCCCTCAAAAAACTCTGCTAAGTTCAGTTAGCAAGAACCTCCACCCTCAAAATCTGATCACCCTCAATATCTGATCAGGTTCTTCAGGTGATGTCTGGTCACTCTGTGGCCTTCAGCAAGAATCCTGTGGGTCTGGCTTAGCCGGAATCCCTCTTACTCCAGGACATGCACTGCCCCCACCGTGTTCCATGGCTATAAAGTCCCACTTGCTCATGTTGTACTTGCAAGTGAGCCCAATCTCTCTTCCCCACTGCAAAATTCCATTGCTGCAGTCCCTGTGATCATTGCAATGGTCTTGAATAACATCTGCCCTACTGTGCTTTAACAAGTGTCATTTAATAGTTTTTTTTCTTTAACAGTGTGGATTGATGGTGGTTTATTGGAAGAAGAAATTGGAAGAGTAGGCAGAGATTTTACTTCTTGTTTTATGTTTCTATAGGGGTAAGATCATGAAACATTTTACTTTCTGTGTAAGTTTTTCAAATTTTGAAAAAAAAGTTTTAAATAACTTCATAAGAAAATGAGGATATGAAAATCATACAAAAATTAAGGGGTTTTCAGGCTTCTGAAAGAATTCATGAAAACAGATACAAAGGATATGGATTGAAACTGATGATAATCAAATAACAGCAAACAGCTGTTACTATAATACCAATCCATGTAAAGTGCTTAGTTTCCAGCACAAAGAAGACACTTCATGACTGTTGGCCATTTTTTTTTTTGAGAAGGAGTCTCACTCTTTCCCCAGCTGGAGTGCAGTGGTGCAATCTCAGCTCACTGCAACCCCATCTTCCAGGTTCAAGCGAGTCTCCTGCCTCAGCCTCCTGAGTAGCTGGCATTACAGGTGTCTGTCACCATGCTCAGCTAATTTTTGTATTCTTAGTAGAGCTGGGGTTTCACCGTGTTGGTCAGGCTGGTCTTGAACTCCTGACATCGTGATTCTCTCGCCTTGGCCTCCCAAAGTGCTGGGATTACAGGGTGAGCCACTGCGTCCGGCCCTGGTCACAGTTTTAATTCTCACAGCAACCTATGCCATGGATGCTATAATCATCCCATTTTACAGATCAGAATCTTGAGGTTTAGAATGTGTCTAACTTGCCTAACATCATACAGCTTGCAGTAGGAGGATCCTGGATTCAATCTAGTCTGAAGTAAAAAAAAAAATTGATGTAGGTATCACTTCTGTACAGCTCCACAACATTGGACAAGTAAGCCTCTGTGCTTTGTTTTCTCATTTGGTAAATGGGTTAACAAAAGCACCTATTTTTGTTCAGTACTATTGTGAAGAATAGATGAGCTAATGCATGTGAAATAATTGGAATAATATTAAGTATTTAGCAGGAATTTGGTACATTTAAGTTATTTCATAACAATTTTCTCAAGAATAAATGGGTTAGTACATGTACTATAACTGAAATAGTATGGAACATATAGCAAGAAGTTAATTTTAACTTATATTATAAAAATTATTATATATTATTATATAATATAATAGATATCACAATATATATATTAATATGTAACATACTATAATATATTATAATTAATTATATCATATTTAATAATTACATTATATAATTATTATAGTCTTATATTTTGCTATTATTATTATTGTAACTGCTGCATAGAAAAGAATTCTGCTTTTTTAAGCTTTGAGGGGTCAAAGAGCAGTTGACCGTTTTATCCAGAACCTTGTTACATACATCATTAGCAAATACTGATTCTGACGAAGCGGCAAAAGAATTAAAGAAATGTGTACAATTGGCATCTCATGTCATGTGATATCCTCCTGACTATGAGCCTAGATGAGGTAACTAAACAGCTGTCAGAAATCATTCTAAGGTCTTATTCCTGCCTCACAACCACTTTTTACCTCCCAAGATGATAAGTATTTAGGAGTTCTGGTTTCAATGAATGGGAAGCTTCTTTTTTTTTTTTTTGAGATGGAGTTTCGCTCTTGTGACCCAGGCTGGAGTGCAATGGCGTGATCTCGGCTCACCGCAACCTCCGCCTCCTGGGTTCAGGCAATTCTCCTGCCTCAGCCTCCTGAGTAGCTGGGATTACAGGCACGTGCCACCATGCCCAGCTAATTTTTTATATTTTTAGTAGAGATGGGGTTTCACCATGTTGACCAGGATGGTCTCGATCTGTTGACCTTGTGATCCACCTGCATCGGCCTCCCAAGGAAGCTTCTTAATTCATACCACTACCCTCCATCCCTGGGTAGAAGGGAGGCTACACTTCATCCCACTGACTCATCTGATATCCTAGAAGATTCCCTTTCCTGCAAGGATTTAGTGGAAATCACATTGGTATGGATGTAGGAAGGACACACATTGCCCATGTTACTGGCATCATATTACAGAAATATCTGCTGCATATTTGGAGTAAGGATGCATAATCTGCTAGAAATTCTAGGAAAACAATGGAAGATCCTAATGTTTAAGCAAGATACTTACTCTGCGTTGCGTATTGTCACGAACTAAACTCTCTGAAGGACTAAAAATATGTTTTACTAAACTACCATATTACCAACTCTTCATACAAAAGAAATATTCAGAAATCTAGCATTGCCTGGGAAGCTGAAGAAATTAGTACAGTCATAAAAGAGAACATGTTATTTTACTAGCAACCTTCCTGTGTTTTAAAAGCACCCTAAAACAATGATCTGAACAAGCCAGGCCTGTTAAATATCATTCATGAAATAGTGAGGAGCATCTTCTTGATCTGAAATCTTGGAGCTTTCAGCTATTCCACTCATTCCTAATGTTTTAGTAACAATCAACTACGGGCACATTGCCATGTTTGCTTTGTGGAGATAAAAAATAGGAACGGATTTTTGCCCTTGTGAGGTGGGGTGGGAGACAAGGAAAGGAAGAAGAGAAAAAGCAGCTGGAATTTCCATGAAAGACACCTACAGAAAAGTGGAAAAGGATCAGAAGAGGTTTGGCAAAGAAGGTGGGTAGTCCTGTAACATGCAGAGAAGGGGAATCGGTAACCCAGAATTCCTGTGGAAAAGAGAACTCGGGTGTGACTTGGTCTAAGAGTGGTTTTACGTTTTTCTAGGCAGACATGCAGGACCATCCTAGGGATGTGAAACAAACGCAGGTAAAAAGCTTTCTGTCTGATGGATATGGGACACCAGACGTTTCCAGTAATCGAAGGTGATAGAGCTTCCATGATGAGAGAGAGTCGATGCTCATGCTCTCCTAGGCTCCCTAGATTTCAGAGTCACTGACTATAAACACATGTATAAAGAGGAAACAATATTGCTTAACAATTCAAACCAAAAAATCTACCTGCTTACGCATCAAGAATTTTGATACCAATATGAACTACAGCTCTTTCTCTACCTAGCCGTAATATTCTTAGGCAAGTTAATTATTAGGTTGGCACAAAAGTGAGTTTTTAAAGTAATGGCAAAAACTATAATTCATATGTTGAATTCATATGTCCCTCAGATTCATATGTTGAAACTTAATCCCCAGTGCAGTGGTGTTAAGAGGTAAACCATCTGGGAGGTGATTAGGTCATGAGTATGGAATTCCACTCTTCAATGCTCTTACTAACAGACATTTGAGGGAGCCTGTCTTCCCCTTCTACCACGTGAGGACACACCTGAAGTTGCCAACTAACAGGAATAGGCCCTCAACAGATACCAAATCTGTTAGTGTCTTGCTCTTGGACTTGCCAGCCTCCAGAAGGGTGCGAAGTAAATTCCTATTGTTTATAAATTACTCAGTCTAAGATATCTTGTTATATAGTACATGGAAAGGACTAAGACAATGCCTGTATAAAAGAAACCCCAGAAGGCTTTCTGAATCTCTTTCCATGCTGAGCGAGGTGGCTCATGTCTGTAATCTCAGCACTTTGAGAGGTCTAGGTGGGAAGATCACCTGAGCCGAGAAGTTTGAAATCAGCCTGAGTAATGTAGTAAAATCCTCATCTTTACAAAAAAAATTAAATTAGCTAGGCATAGTAGTGTGCTCCTGTAGTAGTTCCAGCTACTTGAGGCGCTGAGGTGGAAGGATCACTTGAGCTGCAATGAGGGAGGTTGAGGCTGTGGTGAGCCATGATCATACCACTGCACTCCAGTCTGGGTGACAGAGTAAGGCCCTGTCTCAAAAAAATTATAATAAAATAAAATTCAAACAAAAAAATAAATACCTTTCTAATTGAGGACACAATGAGAAGCTGGGCTGCAACCTGAAAGAGAGCCCTTATCAGACCCAACCATACTGGCACCCTGATCTTGGACTTCCAGCCTCCAGAACCATAAGAAAGAAATTTCTGTTGTTTCTAAGCCACCTAGTCTTTAGTACTTTGTTATAGCAGCCCTAACCAGGACAGTTACATAAAAATATACAACCTGCTCTCAACTTGCTGGCCATACAACAGAGACAGTAGGTTAGATTTAGCCCAAGGGGCATAATTAGCCTACTTTAGTTCTAGGGGAAGCTCTAAGAAAGATATTTGCAACCCTTTCTCCAGGCCTTTCTGGGAAGACATTTGATCACCCCATGCCAAGGTTTTTCTGCAGGGAGAGCGCCAATATCCTCTGGGGACCCCCAAGGCTTTCTCATCCCACTGCTGAGAAGTAAGAACAAGGCCACTTACCACATGATCATGATCACTAACTTCATTACAATCTCATTCAAAATGTTGAAGAATTCCACCATCAGCTTGGCCTGATCTCCCATCTTCCCCATAGCAATGCCAAAAGCAATGAAAAACCCTATCAGACCTGTTGGGTGAATCACATTACACAGAAGGACAAATTACAAAGAATGTATTTTTTTCTCCCTCATTCTTTACCATTCCCCAATATATAGAGCCATGTTCTCACTGCTGGTTACCCTATGAATTAGACATTTTTTTAAAAAGCATTATATTTCATACTGAGTGCAACTTTCCTCTGGATAATTATGGATTTCTTGAACATTTTCCACATGTGCAAGTTAAACTGCAAGCAGTGTTAGGTCCTGGAAGAAAATGAATTCATTTTCATTCCAAACTAAAAGGTGCTCTCTTCTTTCTCCCCTCACTTATGACATCATGTGTAAGCAGATTCCATTATTACACAGATTAACAAGAAAAAGCTTATTGGGACTTGGGGATTATCATGCAAACTTTGGAGCCAACATGGAAAGAGCAGAGGCCAATTAGCCAATAAAGTATTTGCTAGAGTTACATCTAGCTTGTTTTGGTGTTATCCCAAATCAATGCATGGCTGCTATGTTCCACTCTTATAAAATCCTAAATGTAAAATTATTTTTTATTACTACACACATAAAATGACAGGGAGAAAAAATATTGAAAATCAAATGGAAAGCAATAAGAAATATAAAATTCCAATGTATACAGTTTTTTAAAATGTAATCTGTTATTTATGAATTTGTCATAATTGTTTTCAAGACTGAAATGGTTAGAATGCTTTCTTTTTATTTTAGCTATTTTTTCAGGATTATAAAGACAGAATATAGATTCACTGTCAGATTTTGCTAGTTCCTAGTCCCTCAACTCTATTCTTCCTTCCCTTGACATTCTTGACTTGTATCTAAGTTCAGCCTCACATCAGCCTCCAGGATCAATCCTAACCCCATGAAGGACATAAGGAGCTTCATCTCTACCCTCTTCATGTCAGCATCACACTGCACTAGGTCTTGGACCAACTCCAATATCCAACTATGAGTCTTCTGTGTTGGCTTTACCTCATCCCCTGCACATGTGGTCCTGGGAGTCTGCTGTACACTTTAGTTCCTCCAAAAATAGGCCTGGCTTTGCTCCTCCTACCACTCATGTTGGTCCCTTCCACTCTGTTCCTCGGTATCTAATGCTCAGGCCTGGAGTCTCTCACCCCAATGCATCCAAGGACTGGGGCACACTGTGCAAGGCTTGCAGGTGTTTCCAGGACTGCCTGGGGGCTGTCTGGATTTCTCCCATCCAAGTACTAACCAGGTCCGACCCTGCTTAGCTTCTGAGAGCAGACGAGATCAGGCACATTCAGGGTGGTATGGCCATAGATGGCTGTCTGGATTTCTAATTGCTAATCCCCATGTGCTCCCTGACCTCTGACCCCTGATCTAGTATTGCCAGTCTCGAGGTCTCAATTCTGACTACTTGTATGTTCTATAAATCAATGTTGCTATACCCTTGGCTACAGGACTTTTCTTGCCCACCTGACTTGTTCTCTTACTTTGAAGTATAAGCCATCTTCTCTTTCCTCCTTTCCCCACACCTAACCTGCTCAATTTGGCAGTCCCAATTCCCAGTCCCTCCCTATTACATCCAGTTTCCAATGGCGTCCGGTTATGCCTGAAGTCTTAACCTGTACCTTGTAAAGTATAGCATTACAATTTGTTTCTCTTAGAAGGAAATTCCTTCTCTCTGAACCTTCGACTTTACTCTTTCCCTAGTCATCTAACACACTAACCCCTTTACAGCAAGCACATATCAACTCAGGTTGTCTAACTACCCTTTGATGGATCCTTTCTATCTTCAGCAAAAAGAATCCGGCACTTGCACTTGGGGTTGCTAATACTTCACATTTAGTATCTCCTCTTTTTGCTCTCAGCCAGAAAGCTTGACAAGTGACTTCACAAGTGAGTTATTGGCCTGGAAAGACAAAGGCTTAGGGAAGATGAGATTCAGGACAGGGGGAACTAGTTCTGCAGTAATGTACAAATGAATTTCAGGCCATTCCCAAGTCCTTCTCTCAAGCGCATGGAGAGAAGTCTGCTAGGTGGGTTGTGAGAAAGAATCAATCTGAATATTCTGGGTGAGAATAGCTCACATTACTCAGTTAATTTCATTTGAAATTAAGAGAGAATGCCCAAGGTATCAAGGTCCCAAAGAACTGGAGGAAAAAATAACTCCACTCAGTGTCAGCAGAAACTGGCCATATCTATGAGGGATAGATTTTTAAAGGAGCAGTTGGAATTGATTTAAGCAGTTGGGAGAAGGATAGAGCACAGAATTGTTTCTGGATTTTTTTTAGGAGGGAAATGGGTCCTTAAAGAAGTGAGAGGCCAGAGCTGGGGTTGTATCTTCACGTACTACAAGTGCTTAATCCTTGGGACTTTCCAAAGCCAAAAAACAGAAAGACAGCAAAACAAACAAATAAAAAAGCCACTGTCTCCACCCTCAGAAGACCATGGAAATAACCTTATTTCAGCCATGATTTGTAAATGGGAAGTTTCTCAACAACCTAACTTCCCTTGGCTTTCCAGAGCCTTGATCTGTACTTGGATGGAAACTGTATTCAGCTTGTAATTTTTCTCTGTAAACATTGCCTAATTGAAACAGCTCACTGGTATGGGGGTGTTACATTCCAACAAAGCCCTCTTAGACTTGGCCACTGAGGTTACAGAGCAGTGAGTTGTGTTGAAACTCCCCAGTAGAGCCAAAGGTCCTGTGACTTACCAGAATCCACAACCAGGAAAGGCTTTGGAAACAACCAGGAGAGTCTTTGAATGATTCACTCCAAAGCTCTGGCCCCATTGTTCATGGGCCTCAAGCTCCTCCAGAGTATGGGAAAGACTGAAGAACACTTTGACAAAAGGGGATTGGGTGCCTTAAGTTGTGACCCACCAGAAAGGACCATGGGGGAGTTAGGAAGGTCCTGAAAGGGTCATAGATATCTTGGCAGTGGTGGAGAAGAGCTGCTTAGTGGTGGGTGCTGGGGATATTTGCAAAACCTCCCAAGAAGAACTCTCCTTCTTTCTCCTTCCTCCTTCCACCTCTCATCTCCCACTGGTTGTTAAACAATGTTTATTGATCTTCCATCAACTGCCAACCTAGTCAGTTCATCTCATTCTCACTCTCATTCACCCAACCTGCTTCCTGCCAGGCCAAACAAAAAAGATCCGCTTCTGCTTCTCAGTGACTATGCAATTCTGTTCCCTCTCTTTCCTCTTTCTCTCTGCCATTCTGGATGGCTAAGGAGTAGGCTTACCAGATTTGGAATGAAACAGACAAACAAGACACTCAATTACTTTTTGCATTTCAGGTAAGCATTGAATTTTTTTTTAGTATTATTATTTCCCATGCGATATTTGGGACATACACTAAAAAACTATTTGACTTTTATCCAAAATTCAAATTTAACTGGGCATTCTGTATTTTATCTGACAACCAAACTAAGAAGACAAGGTCATGTGATCTTTTAGATGACAATGTGAAAGGACTACTGAACTCATTCATCTCTAAACAGCTGTCATCCAAACCTTTAAAAACTGTGCTTGGATAAATAAAAATACTTCATCCATTCAGATTTACCATTTCTCCCAAGTTTTTGCCAAATGCCCTATTTCCTGTCTAGAGGACACCATTCTAATGGTGGAGGTTATGGAAGGAAGTGGACCCACTGAGTGGGAGGGGAGCAAACTGGGTAGATTAGAGCCGCTCACAGGGTAAGAAACCTCTGTCCCTCATGAAGGTATTTTCTTATTGAACTCGTCAGCTTTCCACCCACTTTGAATGATGATCAGAGCTCATAGGGATATAGCACATGGCATGTGCTACTGTGCCCTATTCACACAATCACATTTTATCCTCACAGTAATCTACAAAATAGATACCAATCCCATTTCCATTTTACAAATGAGGCTCAGAGAAATGGAGCAATTTGCCCAGGGTCAGATCACTGGTAAGTGGTCCATACTGGATCCAAACCCAGGTCTGACCAACTGCAGAGCCCAAAAACCTCTAGGATGGCATGCTTAGAGGGCACTGGGCTAGGAGAAAGGGCTCACTGGGATCCCAGAGAGTAAAATAAGATAATCTGTAAAGCTCCTTTGGTACCTACTCCAACACTTTACAGTCCTGGTAGCATTGCTTTGCTGGCAGACTATGAGAGCTGGGTGGTCCAGCCTCTGCACCTAGCACAGCACCAGCAGCTTTTAAAACATGCTTAAGAAACGAAAGCAATGGATGTGTCACTTAATATCCAGACAGTCAGAGAAAGTGATTTTCTAACACCATGCAGAGAGTCAGGGAATGTGCCCAATGGCGGTGAGCTCCCTCCTTTTTCCCACATCCATGCTGCCCTGTCCCTTGAAGGTCTTCTCTGCCCTTCTCCCTCTTCCTTAAATGGCTCAGCTCTCAGTCCCAGTGACCCTCAAATTGCTCCCGAGAGAGAGCCTCCTGCTCCTCCTAGAGGACAACTGAATCATCAGTTTTCTGAGAAGGGAGTGCAGGAGAGCCCAGCCATTGCCCGGGAAGCAGAATCCCGGGCCACCACCTTGCGTACCTAAGACATTCATCCCGTCCTTGAACTCCAGGCCCTTCTTAATAACCATCTTAGTCTCCTCCGGCACCTCCGGCACAGTCTCGTTCAGCAGAGAGACAACAGCGCTGGTTGCATTGGCCTCGTCTTCTGGCGGTGGTGCAACCAGGACTTTCTTCGTCACTGTTTGAATCTAATAGAGTGAGGGAAAAAAAGGTATAAAGCTGAGGTTTGGCCTAGAAGTTAAAAAAAAAAAAAAGCCTGGCTACTCATATATTTTTAAATGCCCAATATGTTAACAATAATTAAGAAATGCCAAAGCAAGGTTATGAAAACAGGAGAATATTTTATATATCTGTATTTAGCAAAGTGGTGTTTTATTATACACAGTGAGACACAACTGTCCTAATCACAGCTCATTACAGACTTTTTCATGTGTGCAAATTTATGGGGCACATGAGAAACTTTTTACATGTTTTTACATAATGATCAAATCCGAGCATTTAAGGTGTCTATCATCTGAGTACAATACACTTTTTAAGTATAGTCATCCAACTCTGCTCTCAAACACTGAATGAATTCCTTCCATCTTTCTGCATGTTTACACCCTTTAAGTTACTTCTCTTCATCTTTTCCCCTTTCCCCCACTCACCCTTCCTAGCCTTTGTTATCTAGTTTTCCCCTATTTTTCCACGTGTTCAAATATTTTAGCTCCCACATAAAAATGGGAAATGTAATATTTGCGTTTTCATGCCTAATGACACGATTTCATAAATACAGAATTTATGAAAATAATTTGCAAGTGTACTGTAAGTAGTGTGATCAATAATAAGACACGAGCTTAAACTTGGGGGATAAATATCTTCTTTCACTCCTCTGATTGTAGCTCAGAATCAGTATCAAATGCCTAACTTGGTTGCTCTTCACAATTGTGAGACCCAGTTAGATGGTGCTCCCAGTTGTGATGGTCCTTCCAGTTGTGATGGGATTTGGGTCTGGTTCAGAATAGGAAGCCTTGGCAGGGGTCAGATCAGTAACTCACAATCCACCTGTTCCCCCCCCCCCACCACCCCCGCCACACTTGGTCCCCATTGGACAGGGGCATCACAGGCCATCTCAGTTTGGGCTCCTTCTAGAGCTAGGCTCTGCTGGAAATCTCCATCTGGGCACCAAGAGTGCCAGCTGCCAGCAGCTACCATGGCAGGAGAATTTGCTCATATTTCAGATCCAAATTCAAGGTGGGAAGACAGCTGCTCCTTCTGGGCAGTGATGCCAAGCCTTGCTCAATGTTCCCCAAGCATCTCTGTCAGATGACTCACAAGGAACCTCTCCCGCTATTCCTCGACATCCATGGCAGTGGTCCTATTTTTAAAGGTGCCAGGCACCCTACATGCAGAGTGCTATAAAAATTCACATCTGAGCCCAAAAAACACCACCTCCAGGGGCATTAAAATAGAACTCAATGCAGAATCCTAGAATGTCAGTGCCGGCATGTAGTAGGTAACAGATGGCTGAACCCTGAATAGATAGGGAAAAAGATGTATGGGGAAGTCAAGTGACTTGTTGGACGTCATGGAATTATGGGCAGAACTGGGACTTCAACTCAGATGGCCTCACCTCCACTGAGTTATTTCCACAGTTTGTGCTGTATGTTAAGCTCTAAAGAACAAATCCTACTGTAACTGGGCCCCATCGAAAGCAATGCTGAACTGACCAGTTATCTGAAATAGAAGGCAAGGGAGATCAGTGTTCTCTGAGGTAAGCCAGGGTGCTCTCTGTTCTAGCCTGGCCATATGCGCTTGTGCAGGGAGAGAGGAAGCCTAGGGCCAGCTGTTTGAGGGGAGAACAGGTAGCCCACCGGCCCCTTCATTTGGGCAACACTGGTGTGAAGAGCAAATGCAATAAGAATCAGAAGAGAAGCTTTCATGAACAGCAGAGCCATGCTCCCAGGAAAGAAAAGGGGACCAAAGCCAACTGTCGACCTACCCTTAGGATGCTAAAGAAGCCAAAGTTTGGTTTAAAAAGAGAAATATTCATGCATCTAAATGAGTGATGGCTGTCAGGATCAGGCAGGAGGCCAGCTTCTACCTGTTTTACATCCATTAAGTCTTGTGTCAACAGTAGCTGCTGGACTCAAGGGCACCTTGCTAGTTAGTTGCTAAAGCAGGACTCGAGATGAATTATGTTTGACTACAAAAATCCAGATTCCAAATAGCACAGGCCAGTGGCATAAGTTGAAGCCAAGGAGACAGCAACACTGAACGCAGGCCTAGTTCTCTGTCTGAGTTCCTGCTTCACAGAAACTGTTTGGTTGTACAACCAAGGACGGTTTTTGACTGTTTTGTGCTGCTACCACAAAATACCTGACGTTGGATAATTTATCATAAACAGAAACTTGTTTTTTTATCATTCTGGAGACTGGGAAGTACACAGTGAAGGAAGGTATCAGTATCTGGAAAGAGCCTTCTTGCTGTATCGTTATATGGAGGAAGGTAGAAAGGCAAAGAGAGGCACAAAGGAGCCAAGTTCATCCTTTTATAGCAGCATTAATTCTATCCATGAGAGCAGAGACCTCATGGCCCAATCACCTCTCCAGAGGGCCCACTTATCAATATTGTTATAATGGCAACTAAATTTCAGCACGAATTTTGGAAGAGACAGACATCCAAAGCACAGCAGGTGCCAATTCCAGTCTCCCTGACCCCAAGCCACCATCATCTCTCACTGTAAAACCTGCAAAAGCCATAAACTGACCTATTCACCATTTTTTCTTATCTACATACAGTATATAGGTAAGTGTGGCTGCCTATAACTCTGTCTATATCCTTAACTTCCCCTGGCCCACCAAGTCCTGCCCGAGCTGAGTTCATCTTCCTCCACTTACTATACCCCCCTATTGGCCTCACACAGCCTCCTTTCTCTTCTCTGAACATGCTAAGTACTTTTCAGCCTCTGCACATCTGTGCCTCTGCTGAGAAGCCTCTTTCCCCAGCTTTTTATAGGCTTAACTCATTCTGATCCCCTATCATCTCAGCTCAAACATCTTCCCTAGTTACCACCCAGCCTATTATCCTGCCTTTAGCCTTCAGAGCACACCTGTTTAATCTCTAAGTCTCTTCTGTGTAGCCCTGATGGTTGTTTTGGTCTGCCTCCCTCCCCTTTAATGTAAGTGAGCTCCTTGGGGCAGGGTCCTCATCTGTCTCCTCCCCTGTGGCATTCTTATGCAAAGCAGAGAACCTGGCAGCCCATCCTGCTCATAAGTATTGGCTGAGTGAACATACACAGATCACTGAATTTTCTGGAGGAAAAGAACCCATGTAGGTTCTTAATTGTTGATTTAATAGTGATTTAATGTTGTCAGGCCATATCTTACAGCCAGTTAACTCTCTTGGAAATCTCACTTTGGTTCAGAGGAAGCCCTAAATAGCAAGCAAGAGGCCTCCCCACTCACAAAGACACAGGGACCTGACTTGGGCAAACCGGGACAGCTCATCTTCCTTTTTACATCTCTGTTTCTAACTCTGGTCAGGGAGCTCCCTCCACTCAAGAGAGGTTATTTTAAATCACTTCCAGCTGTACTCATGGACACAGAAGACGCCTCTCGTGCACCCTTTCTCTCTTGAAATGTCATGTCCCTTTATAAGAGTTTCCTGTCCTCAAGTCCTCTTCAGTGCCTTCCTCCCAGGCTTAAGGAATCTGTACCCATCCTCTCCCTGAGGTAGATTCTATGCCATTCTTCCTCAGATTGTCCCAACCCAAAGGGACCTTGATCCTGAACCTCCTGGGGGACCAAGGCTCAGTCCTCATATGAATTTTGGCAATGGAGAGTTGGGGTCAGGGCCAGGTTGGGGCAGGGAATGGCCCAAGTCTCTATTCCAGAGTGGCAGACAGCATCCCTTGTCATGGGCAGCTGCATGCAAAGACTGCCCATCCACCACAGTGCTCACCGAGTGTGAGCGTGACCAGCTCCACAAAAGCTCACTCCAAGACCAGAGCAATAGCTCCAAGAGCCTGCCTGCTTCTTGGTTCTGCCTTCCTTCTTGCACAGAGCATGGCCATGACCAGGCACAGAACTGAGTCCAAATCTGTCCTTCCTAACCCTTCCTATGCTCCCCTTTCCCCAAGTCTACTACTAGCTCAGTCTCCTGCAGCTGCTATCCCAGAATGCTCTTTCCAAAATGTTAAGAATAGACGGCACTCAACTGCAAGCAAGTCTCACTCTAAAGCAAGTCGATTCATCTTTTTGAGCAGGCTGGCTGCAGGGCAAACATACCATATAGATGGAGCCCAGTAAGCACCTTCTTCTCCAGCTTATTTCTGTTTATTTCTGCATCCAACTTCTCTGGCCTCTAATGGTTTCCTTTAATATAGGTCCATGCTACATGTGCCACTAAAATGGCATCTGAAACCAGGGAACATATCCCAACCCAGTGTAATCTGAGCTCAGCGATGGTTAATGACTGCATTTGGAGACGACGAGGAATACATTCTTTTCTTCTAAGCTACCTATTTTCTAAGCTTATTCTTCTGTACTTGGAAATGGCTGAAGGAGACTGCTTCGTTCTAGCTTAGTTCCCACCTGGGCTAATGGGAACTGGGGTGTCTGGGGTGTGTTCTAGCCTAAGCTGGCCTTGGGGTAGAAAACAGGGTAGTAGATGGGGCCTACTCAGGTAACTCAGTGGTTCCACTCAGCAGAATCTCCTGTTTTAAAAAGATCACAAGTTTAAAAGAATGTATAGGCATGTATGAGCAAGCAGGAGTATGCATTGCTAAGACTCTGTACCCACTGCTACATACTCTTGTAGTGCCATTTTGCAACAGCCAGCAGACTCAAAATATAAAACTCCTTGTCAGGGCATTTTCATTTCTTCTAGGAATTTGTCCTTTAAAAATATTATGTAATCATGAAAAAAAGAAAGAGATGACTTTAAAATACTCAAGTGAAAAAGTGAGATGCAATGTTGTATGAATAATGGAGTACTATTGGGTTGAATTTTTTTTTTTTTTTGAGATGGCATTTCACTCTGTCTTCCGGGCTGGAGTGCAATGGCTCTGCTCACTGCAACTTCTGCCTCCTGGGCTCAAGCCCTCCTCGGCTCAACGTTGCCTCAGCCTCCCAAATAGCTTGGATTACAGGTGCCCACCACCACACCTGGCTAATTTTTCTATGTTTAGTAGAGATTGGGTTTCACCAGTTGGCCAGGCTGGTTTTGAACTCCTAACCTCAAATCATCCATCCACCTCGGTCTCCCAAAGTGCTGGGATTATGGGTGTGAGTCACCACACCTGACCTGGGTTAAATTGTTTTAAAGATTATGTACACTTGCATATGTGGCAAGAGAAAACTATAAGGGAGGAAACAAAATTTTCAACATAAGTAGTTCTAGAGAAGGGGAAGAAGAAGCTTCCAACTTTTACTTTATGTGCTTCTAAACTCTAAATTTTTCACAATCTGCATGTATTACTTCCACAATTTAAAAAATACCCATTGTGCAGAATCTCCACAATATCTGTATTTTTAAGAAATACAAATTCAGTATTTGCATTTCTTAAAAAGTGCCATTGGTGGTTTAGATTTACTGCCAAGTTTGAGAACCACTGTGTACTCTAGAAGGTTGTGGGCAAGGCTGATAAAAATATGCTCATGGATGACTCAAAGATGCATTTCCCAGCCTCGTGCATAGAAAGGAAAGGAAGAGATAGATATAAGGAGAGAGAGGAAAAAAAAGGGATGACAATCCTAGATCAAAAAGATACTAAGTGAGCTGGAAAAAAGGGGAGGTTTAAAAAAATTAAAACCAGGAGACCCCAATCCCAAGATCCTGCCCTAAACAACCTCATAGAATCCCTGGGCCTAGACAGAGATAATTACATATTAAAAAAATTTCTACGCAGAGTTAGTCTGTTAACACAGACTCTAAGTTATCGCCTCGATGACTTAGAGGACTGCAGAAGAGAGAACATCTGAACCCTGGGTTACCTGTTGAAAGCAGGCTTGGACAAGGTTTTCAGGGAAGAGATTGCGAATAAGGTCCAGGAAGGCATCCAGGCTGGACACTTCATCGTTCTTCTTCCCAGGTCCCAGCTGCTTCTTGAGCTTGGGATTCCCTGGATGGATAGCCAAGACCAGAATGACCCCCAGCACTGCGGCGATGATGGTTGTGGACATGTAATACACCATGGCTCTCGTGCCCAAGCGGCCACTAGCCTTAGCGTCCAGGCCTGACAACCCTGGATTGAAAAGAAATGCAGAAGGATTAATTCTGTTACACTTGTGTTAATGACCTGCGTCTACATTTCTATGACATTGGCCCATATTACTCAAATGTGTTAATGGTTGATTAAATGTCCTCTTGTAGTCTTCCCTCCATATCCATGAGGAGACAGGTTCTAGGACTCCCAACAGATACCAAAATCTGAGGGTGTTCAAGTCCCTTATGTAAAATGGTATAATATTTATATATAACCTATGTACATCCTCCTGTCCACTTTAAGCCACCTCTAGATTGTTTATAATAGCTAATACAATGTAAATGCTATGTACATAGCTGTTATGCTATATTTTTAAATTTTTATTATTTTGTATTTTTTTTAATTAGTTTTTTTTTCTCAAATATTTTCAATCTGCAATGAGGGACTCACAGATATGGAGGGCCAACTGTACTGAATATTTGGTCAATCCCACAGTTTATCATTCTATTATCCAGGGAGATTTTCAAGTTTTTACAGAACTGGGAGGGTTGGAGATCCTCCTGTTTAGCATTTACAAATGGTCTGTGACAACTGTTTTTGTCAGTCTGCAATAATGAGTTAAAATAAAGTTGAAGACATCCCATTTTTAATTTTGAGAGGATGTTCTTTCCACTTTTTTGTTTTTGGTCTTAACATCTCCTTTCTTTTATGAAGCAATGGTGCTGGTACATGCTAGTTTTTAACTCATTTATTTATTCATGTTTTAATATCTTCACTTAGAAAACTAAAAAACTGGTAGCTCTGTGCCACTCTCAAAACGTCTTTTGAATATATTAGTGGTAACTGACATGAAGAGTCTGAGAATAATGATTTCGCCCAGCCCTCTCATTTCTCCGAGGTGAACAGCGAAGATCCACATTTCTCAGCCTCATGCAGGGATTAGAGAACACCCTGTGAAGCACCCTGCTAATGGTGGGCACTTCATCTATACCTAGGGAGGTTAGAGAAAATTCCAAGCAAGTCACAAAAACTCCAGCTCCCTTGGGTTTTTTTTTCAGTTGCTTCTTCAACGTCTCCACTTCCTGGTTTCAGTTCCTGCTTTTACCAGAAAGAGAGATTGAACCCCTTTCTGGTGGTCAGTCCTTTTTGCTACGGGGGAGGAAGTTAGTGATATGAGTTGCTCCAAATTAAGCTGACCTATTTATGGCATATTTCTCTTTACAACCTAAAGTCTAATTCTAGCCGATGGGAGCTAGGTTTTCCCACCAAGTTGGCTAATGTATGACCTGTTAACAGGCATAGAGAACATTTTCTCTGTTTTAGGGAGGAGTATTCATGGTAAATGCATCCTTTCACTTAATCTAGCTCTGCATGATAAGATCCCACTTAGCCCCTAAGTGCCTGATCCTGAGTCCCAGCATTTCGAGCACTGGAGTCACTGGTCAACCAGCTGATGCCAGTTGACCAGTGACTAACAACCCAGCTTAGCCCCTGAATCTCCTGGAGTAACCAGAGCCTCTCCCACTTCTTTCATGAGGTGACTAGTCCAGGGGGGAACTTCTCCAGATCACTTAGCTAGTTGGTACCCAAATATGGACCTCATCTTCCTGCCCTTAACTCAGAGCTGAGTCTCCAAAGGGCACCAATTTATACACTGTTTGAGCAATATTATTTGGTAGGGAGCAAACTACTAGTATAAGCCCACAGAGGAGAAACAAATTCTTTCAAATAAAGTCATTAATTCTTTTAGTCAAAAATAAGTGAACATGATGTCACATATTAGAAGTCCCTTTGTTTTGAAAGACTCAGAGGGCTTTCATACATAGCATTTCCTTTTCTTTTAATGCCAACCTTCCTCCATTCCCAGTTAAATAGTAGACAGTTTCCTTTTCCATTTATTACTTTTATTAGTAACTGAACAAAATTTAGAAAAGTGAGGAAAGTAGAAATTAAAAAATAAATCACTAGAGGTATCATCACTTGTAATGTATGGCTGTGTTTCCTTTTCATCTTTTTTCTTGGTTGGAGAGAAAGACAAATAGATTGACTAATTGATGGTGAGCCTCTTTTTTATCTTTTTTTTGAGACAGAGTTTCACTTTTATTGCCCAGGCTAGAGTGCAATGGCACGTTCTAGGCTCACTGCAACCTCCGCCTCCCTGGTTCAAGTGATTCTCCTGCCTCAGCCTCCTGAGTAGTTGAGATTACACACATGCACCACCTCTCCCGGCTAATTTTTTACTTTTAGTAGAGACGGGGTTTCTCCATGTTGGTGAGGCTGGTCTCTAACTCCCAACCTCAGCTGATCTGCCCACCTCGGCCTCCCAAAGTGCTGAGATTACAGGTGTGAACCACTGCGCCCAGCCAGCTTTTATTTCTTTAGGGTTAATTATCCCCATTTCAGAGACAGGAAAACCAAAGCTCTGAAATGAAATGACAGAGACGAGCACATTCACTCTACCAAATTCAGATTCTACCGTCAATCCAAAAGCCAGAGCTGGAGTATGACCCATGTTAGCCAGGCAGTAGTCAGGTGGTCTTACCTGTGATTAAGCTGGAGATGATTAGAGGCAGAATGAGCATTTTTAGCATCCTCATGAGTATATCCCCTGGGAAGGCTATTAGCATAACCACATCAGGGTGGATGGGAGATGCCAAGCGAAGAAGCCCTCCACATACTGCCCCCAGGATGACACCTAAAAGGAAGGGGAAAAGAATCTGGATTTATTTTTTGCCCTTGTCAAATGACTAACAATTCTAGACACTTATTTCAGCAACATTGACCTTTCTCACACTTTAGCCGTATTAGATGATGAATAATATGTGACAACAACAACAGTAGATAAGTGAAGCTGATTTTGATGACTAGCGAGAGAACGTTCTGTACCTCCAACTATTCTAAAAGTCAGCACCCAAAGAATCAAGGAGAACCTTCTCAAGGCTTTATGAAAGTGCACACTGGCAACTTGACTCCAACTTATTTGAGGCTATTTGTCTACTTGGAGCCAGAAATTGTCCATAGAAATAACCCACAAGGACAATTATTGCTTCCTCGCCCAGCCCAAGCTTGGCCCCATGGGATGGCATTTAATGTGTGTCTTCTCATTGTAACTGGAGGCCAGATAAAAAGAACATTTAATTGACCAACCTAGTATGAATTCTACTTTTTTTTCTTCCTGTCTATTTTCTTTGGCTTCCAATAATTTCCCCATGGCTCACCCTCAAGGCTTGTCCTTAATGTCTATGTCCTTTTACATAGTTTTTAGATTGCTGCTTTTATGGGAGCTCAAGAATGGACTCTAAAATACATAATTTTGGAGGAAACAATTGAGGCAGAGATGCTGGCAGGGACCTTTTCTTTACAGACTGAAAGATTCCACAAGAAAAATTTTAGATCTCTGCAAATGGGTGGCCAACATGAATGAGCCTTGCAGAAACCACAAGTTGGGTCATAGTACCACTGGCCATAAGGGAGGAAGGGAGTCCCAGGAATGTGGGCTAAGATGTTAATTTCATGGATGTGGAGGGAGCAATGTGGCTGCAAGCCTGATTTTTTTTTCTTCTGCAGGTGAAAATCATATTCTCCAGCTTCTTCAAGTTCTGTGATGAATGAGTTGTGATTATGTGGTGGGTAACCTTTGGAAAACCCAACTATGCCTGTGGTTTCTTATTAAGTAAACTTAGCTATGGAAAGCTCCCAGTCCTGACCCTGAACCACTGGCAACCAAGATGACTGCCTCAAAGGAAAGGCCATGGAATGGAGGGGTGCTGGTAGGTGTTTGGGGGTGAGCGGGTGGGAAGGACAAATTCTTCATTGCTTCTCTGTGTAACCTAAGTGAGAGCTGAAGAACAAGGGAGGGATTGAGAAAGGAAATGGTGTGGTTGCCATTACAAGAAACTTCAGCTTGCCCCATTTTCAATAAACCCTCATGGAAAACCTAAGACCAAGATCGTGTCAACAGCGTGAGAACAACCATCATCTGGGTGAGGCCTGAAGCAGAGGCGGAGGACTTGCAAGATAGAGCTGGAGCAGATCAAGGCATTGAAACAAACATCTTCCACACTGACCTCATTAGATAATGTGCCCAAATTACCTAAATTAATGATGTGTCTGGAGAAGCTCAGACCTTGGGAACCATTTTAGTGGGGTTTTGTGCAATACCTGTGCTTATCTTGATGCAGGTGGTTCTCTAACTGTGGTCCATGGACCACTGCTTTGGAATCACCCAGAAGGTTTGCTAAGATGTAGATTGCAGGGCCTCATTTCAGATGGTCCAAAACAAAGTCTCCATGCGTATAGGAATCTGCATGCCAACACTCTCACAAGATATTTATTTGCATAAAATCTGAGAACTACTAGAATCCAAAAGAGAATGAATGGCTAGAGGAGGTGAGGAGGAAAATTCTATCACTGAAGTCTGGGCAGAAAGGGCCCTAGACAAACCACGTGGCTTCCCTTCTAGTGGAAGGGCTGGCCACTGAGACCTGCTGCCCCACAGAGCCTGGAGACGCCCAGAGAAGAGGGGGCTTGGGGTGGGGTGGTGCAGGTACCTACCAAACACCGTCAGGGTGAGCAGGAGATTCTTTCCCAGCTTGTTGCACAGGCGCAGGCCCAGGTGCTGGTGCTTGGGTTCCTCCGAGCCGAGGTGACTGTCGTGCATTCGCACTTCCACCTGCTTGGGCATATTGTTGGCACTGAAACAGAAGTGAAGGCAGAGATTAGAGAGACTGGCACATCCCCTATACAGCTGCAGGGGCTTGACTAGTAGAAGCCTCTCCAGGCACAGTTGGAAACTGGAACCACCTGCAGGAAAATAAAAGTAAGTGTGACTCAGGGTCACCTATAAGCAGGACAGCAGGACACACCGAAAACTGATGTGGATCCTCGCAGTAAAGGAAAGTAATACCACATGCAATGGTAGCGACTTCCAAAGAGTTGCCCCCCACGATAACTTGGGGAGGGAAGTTACCATGTTACAGAGCCTTTACGTGAGTCTTGAACAAGGCTGCAAAGGCTAAAAGAAATAGAGATCCAAATCCAGATAAGTCTGGCTCCGTCACAACAGCAAAAAGGTGACTTTTTCTGGAGAGTCATACTGAATTACATCAACATTCAAATGTCTCTAAGCTCAGGTCTTCCCCATCCTGGACATGTAAAAATCACAAAGGCTGATCATCCAGGGTTTACTTCTTATATGGAAAAGATAGTTTACCTAGTGAAAAAAAAAATTCAATCTATTGTGGCTTTTAAAAGGTCACCTTCATTATCATGACTGCTAAACTGGCTGAGAGCTAATAGCACTTAGAGTCCAAGAAGCATGGCTTTAAGGAGTATTTTAATCACCTCCAGCAATGGATGCAGCCCAGCCCTTTTCTGGGTAAGCCCCAGGTAAACCTAAGCCATCTTGGGAGTCTGCCCAAAGGAGCTCTTACCAGGGTAATGGGTGTACTTCTCCTTCCTCAGCTTTGCTATTTCCCAGGCCAAGAAGATTTTGGATAGAAGCCTGGGGATTGCCACAGTGAGGCCAGTTTTTCACTTTGACATCTTAGGACACCTTTTTCGCTGCTATTTACAATCACCATCATTTGGTAAAAGAAAAACAAAAACAAGCCTTTCATACCTAGAAAGAGAGGTGTCTCTGAACAGATGACAGCGCTTACAAGGAGGTATTGCCCTTATCCAGACATTCTTGTCACAGACTGGAGAAACCTTCCTTTGGAACCAACACCAAGCTGCAGACCAGTGTTTTGGAATAACTGGTTATAACGGGAATAGTGTAGGTTTTGGAGTCAGAAGGCCTTGGCTTCAAATCCTGACTCTCTCTTGCTAGCTGTGTGGGGTGTAGAAAGAAAAGCCTGATGCCTACTTCATAAAAATTAAAATTATGCTAGCATGGTACCTTTCTCCAGTGTACACAAAGAAGAGACACATAACACCCATCAACTTCATGACAGAGATGACATTTAGTTTAGGGGCTTAACCCACTTGCCCTGCCATTCCAGAAAGACACCAAGAACGTAGCTTCCAGTCTCAGAGTTAAGACCTGGAATCCAAATACAATGACTTGCTTTTTCATAACAGTCTGTTTAATATACTTGCTAACAAAATGTTTTATAATTAGGAATAAAGTTGCATGATCAGACGAGAATGTTAGTCAAAATATAAGCCTCTTAGTCTCCCCTTAATGGCCTAATTTTCTACTCATCTAGTTAATTTCTGAGGCAACTTCTGATTTCCTGACATATGTGTGTACTAATGACCACTCAGACTGTCTGAAAAAGAAAGTAGGGTATGACTGCTCACAGCAGGCGGCTGAGGGCCCTTCTGATCAGTGAGCAATGAATACCATTTCCTCCCATCGCCAAGTGAAACAGACAGAAAATTCATTTTACAACACAGCAGGGGGAAATGATCAAAATGATCTTTTTAACATGGATAGACCATATTTTTATGTTTGCGATGGGATCCTTTTCCATTTTCAAACATTTCTCCAACCAGTCATCTGAAGCTCTAAACCAGGAAATGTTGAGCAAAGAATGCAGGTAGTTTGTGTTCTGAAATGGTGAATGTATTTCCATAGCCAGTTCTTGGCAGAACTCTCCAGTCCCCTTGAGATCATTAATCTCCTTGCCTTCTGCTTCATTTGAATCTCTACTGCCATTGAAATGAGAAGCAGGCACATGGTCAGTATTCAAGTAAGACTAGGAAGTATTGAAAGCAAACATTCTGGCAGGATCCATATGATGTAATGGAAGTGTCAGACATCGAAACAGCCATGTCAAAGTGAAAACACACAAACATTAGGTTAGCATACACACCCAACCCAGCAACGTGATTGGATGCCTGTGCCCCACATTTCTTTGTTGTACAAAATTGCTTCCTCTTTAATGGTTTGTTTTTTAGGCCGTAACAAAAGGTCCTGAAGCCCTGAATTAAAACAGCCACATCAAAGTGGCTGTATCAAAATGCTATAAACCCACAAATATTTATTGAGAGAATTCCTGTGAGTTGCCCTCTTTGAATTAAACAGATATGGAAGAATTGTAAGAGTCCCTGATGTTTGCACATAGAAAATAATTTCTAAGGTCAATCAGGGACTCGGTTTGCAGCTGGAAACACAGAGTCCCCCTAGAACTCTTTGTAAAAATTCTAACTATTCTAATTAGTCTAACAAATCACTACATCTCCCAGAACACAAGGAGAGACTGACATGGGAACTATCACGGAATATAGCGTGACAGAATATTATATAATATAGAGCTGCTTCTAAGCCTATATATCTTTAGAATAAGATATAAGTTACAAAAAATGTGTTTACACACAGAGCTATATAAATACTAATTGCAAACACACCTGGTAACAGTGACAATAACAGGAATAACTTGTATTTATTGAATGCACTCTATGAATCAGACACTATACTCAGTAATGGCTATGGTACAATCCTTACTCTTAAAGAGCCTTTACTCAGAGAGGAAACACAAAGCACAGTGTACTGTAATTGTCTGCTTTATGTACAGGCCATGAGCAAACTTGCAAAGGAGTCTATGGGAAATCATAAGAACAGTGCCTAGCCCAGGTTCAGGGAAGAGGAAGGGATATTCAAGAAGGCGTCCCAGAAGGGGCTGAGACCTGAGTCAGAGCTTGAAGGATGGATTTAATTTAAATGCTTACATTCTCCACCAGCCTATGAGCCCTGGAGGCCAAGATTGTGATCTTTTAACACCTACTATTCAGTGTTTAATCAATGTTTGCCAAGAGAAATTGAAAATTGAAAAGCAGCTCTAAAAGGGCTCCTTGCTTGGCCCTGGGAATAAGGCCTTTCTGCAGACAGACTGGCAGCATGCCATTTCAGCCAGATTCTGACCATTCTTGCATTTATTCCACAAATTTCTAGTGGGCCTATATTACAGGCCCCATACTATTGTAGATGTTAACAATATCGCAATAAACAAAAAGAGCCTTTGATATCATGGAGTGTGTACTTTAGTGAGAGAACAAATACATAGATAAATACATTTTAAGTGATGAGAAGTGCTCAGAAGAGGGTTTATATTAGTTTGTTCTCACTCTGCTAATAAAGACCCACCCAAGACTGTGTAATTTACAGAGGTTTAATTGACTCACGGGTCAGCATGGCTTGGGAAGCCTCAGGAAACTTACAATCATGGTGGAATAGGAAGCAAACGTGTCCTTCACATGGCGGTAGCAAGGAGGAGAAGTGCCAAGAGAAAGGGAGAAAAGCCCTTTATGAAACCATCAGATCTCGTGAGAACTTACTTACTATCACGAGAACAGCATGAGGGTAACTGCTCCCATGATCAAATTACATCCCACTGGGTCCCTCCCATGACATGTGGGGATTACTGGAACTACAATTCAAGATGAGATGTTGGATACAGCTAAACTATATCAAGGGTGAAGGAGAAGGAGAGTATGTGAGGAGGCAGTGTGATTTTGTATCAAATGTCCAAGGAAGGTGTCTGTGATGAAGGGACATTTGAATAGAAACCTAGAAGAAATGAGGGGTCTTCTCAAGTATTTTATGCAATTTGTCTAGGGCTCAGCAAATAAATGGAACATACATAATTTGGAAATTTGTCTTATTATCTAAGTCCTAAAACTCCCACCCAGATGCACCCCCTGGGGTCCACATGTTGATTTTTACATGGATTCAAATGAATATGTAATAAGTAATGCTGGGCCCTATCACCATCGTGAATATGATGAAGTTTAAATGACTATCTCAGCTCTCCCTAAGAAAAATGGTTACCAGGAAGAGGTGAGTTGGATACAGGTGGAAAGCCTAAGGTCAAAACCAGCAGGTTTTCTCCCATGGCAATGAATAGAAAGTGCTAAACCTGGTCTGGGAAGTCCCCTGGATAAACACAGTGAGTCATGTCCAGTGTGCACACTTACCCCCTTACTAATATTCCCTTCCTACATCCCGTGGCTCTGCACACAGAACAAAGCAATAAACCCCAGGTGGGATTTGGGTCCACCAAATCCATCACGGCTAATGCTCTCTGACACTGCCCACCATCTCTGTTTCTACTTGAGTGTCTCCTGCATGGAAGAACATTAGCGATGCAATGCCTTAATGTTGGAAATTTCAGTGTGCCAACTCAAGTGGCCTCCACTGCCCAACAAAGTAAGGCCACATGATGGGACAGCTGTTGGGATAATTAAAAACTTTTAACAATGAGCCCATAATTTCCTTCAGTCTTAGCCTCTCCATTGAATTATTTAAACAGCTGTTAATTTTGCAATCGCTGCCCAGTTCTTTCTCATGCAAATCCACGTGAGTCCTCTTTCAAGGCAAGCTCAGCTTATTGTGCAAATCATCCTCTGTGACTCAGAAGGGAACATGTAATGGGGCTAACGCTAAGTTTTAAATTATTCTCAGAACCTGCTTTTCATTAGCATTCGATTTCCTTTGCTTTGCCAAGAGCCTCTAATAACAGGCTCATTAGATGTGATGTTAGATTCAGATTTCCTGCTGCACACTTCAGTGTCACCTTAGCTGGCACCACATTCTTTTTTCCACCTTTACCGATTCGATGAGGTGGCAACAGAACATTCCCCAGGGAGCCTAAAAGCAACTGGTGTGTTTCTCCTGGAAGATGTGAGATCTGCAATGGGCTTCACTCATCTGTTCTTCCACTGCTGACATCTAACCTCTCCTAAGACAGTT